GAAAAAATAGCGTGTTGCATACGGAGTAGAAGCACTTTTTTGTGCTTCAGCAGTATTGCAAGCCTCACTACGTTCGGCTCGCAAACCCACCGCTTCAGCACAAAAAAGTGAAGCTTCTACTCCTAATACAACAATATACTATTTTTGCAACTTTGACAGGCTGTAAAACCTGAACGGTGGATTTTAGAGCTAAACCGATCATACATTCTTGTCTTAGTTTTCCATGAACTATCATTTAACATCAACTTTGAATTTTACCGGAATTTCTAATCTTGGATTAATTTCCAAGCTGGTGTCAAATGATAGTTTATGGAAAAATAAGACAAGGATGTATGATCGGCTTTGCTCTAAAATGAACCGTTCAGGTTTTACAGCCTGTCAAAGTTGCAAAAAAGTCAATTTTCAACTGTCAAATTTCCGAAACAGTTGAAGATAGGTATAGGACATGATGAGGCATAGAATATGTTTAGAATTTAACGTAGAATTTTAAAATAGAATAAGAAATCGGTGTCATTTGAAAAAATAAAGTTAGCTGTCATAACTTCTTTGTGGGTCACCCTGTATACATGATATTATCATATAATATCACAAGAGAAAAAAATTTGTCGGCAAAATTTTCGAAAGGTATGAAAGCTTGTTGCTTGGCAATTTCGCGAATGACATTTTTGACAAAATCACGAGCCGTCAGGCATGCGTCAGGCGAGTGATTTTATCAAAAATGTCATGAGCGAAATTGCCGAAAACCAAAAAACTTGAATAAAACCTTGAGAACAATTTTGCCTACGCAATTTTTTCTCGAGTAGTATTCGTTATGACTATTTCACGTAAGATTTTGAAAATAAATAGAATGCAAAAATATGAATAAAAACTTCAAATTAAAAATATCAGTTTGACAATGTCAAAAAATGGTCGTTGAAATACCACGTTGTTGGTATTGTCCAGGTAGCAGTATTGTAGCTGAAAACCGAATTTATTGCCGGTGTAATACACTCTAGAGAAATAGTCAATAGTAATATATAACAAGTGCAATGGAAATTATCGATAATTTTTGAGAAATTTGCCCGAATGCATTTTTAGTTAAAAACGCATGAGTGCAATTATCGAAAATTATAGATATAGACCCTTTTCACATTACCGGTTGTTTACATTAATGAAAGTATCTTTCTTTCTGTTAAAACTTAACAAAAATTTAAACATAATATATATGATTATTATTTATCGGAAAGTTTGAACAAAAGTACACTAAACGCTAACTATAGGTCTGTTTTCACAGAAATCACAAAACAAGTCAGAGCGAATTTTATTGGTTAAAAATAGTCAGAAAACTGGTTGTTAACGATTTGCACCAATCAAAAACGCTTTGACTGGTTTGTGATTTCTGTGAAAATATCTTCAATATCAAATTAATTCTTTTCGGCTACTGTAAACTTGGGAAGTCAGGTATTTTTGTTTAGTTGTTTTTCCGCGGAACTGTATAAAATATCCTGTGAGCACTTTCCAAATCTAATAGATCATCAAGTGAAACGGAAAAGTTGCACCGACACTATCACGTGGTTGCTGTAAAATTACCGTTCAGACACGCTAAAAAAAAACCAAGTCAAATAAAACTTACAATTCGCCAAAGTAATTCATTTGAAACATATTGATCTTGATATTGACCAATTGCTCATATTATCGAGCGGCTTGCTGTTCACGTTATAAAGTACCCAATACCTATGCAAAGTATTGTGTTCACAAAACCGCGTTGTTCACTTATACGAGTGTTCATATTATAGAGCGTATACTATATTCAGTTCCATTGCTTGAGTTGTATTTTAGCTATTTTCGGGTTCAAAAAAAGGACGGTTCTAGAACGGTTCAAAACAATCGCACAGTTTATTATTGAAATTTGTGATAGCTGAACCGTTGTCATTTAGTTGATTGATGAACTGTGCGAATGTTTTGACCCGTTCTAGAACCGTCCTTTTTTCGAACATGTAAATAGCTTTTATGAGAGAATTTCATAAATCAAAAATTTTAATTTTTTGTCAAAAAATGTTAAAACACCAGTGTCCCGCCAATTATCGCGTGAAGCCTAATCCTCACTTGCGCGAGATTCGCTATTTTTGAGATTGCTTCAATAATTTGACGTTTGATACACGCATAAAACGTAAATCAACAATCAAAACATGTCAGTTTATTGTTGGAATGTCAGTTTTGACAGATGTATAAAATTCTAAATGTCGAGTGCAATGGAAATTGTCGATAATTTTTGGGAAATTTGCCCGAATGCATTTTTAGTTAAAAAGGAGCACCAGTGCTTTTTCAGTGCCCTTTTCAGTTAAAAACGCATAAGTGCAAATTTGTCAAAAATTTAAAATATATTTCCATTGCACGAGTTGTACAGGGTGGCCCAAATTCGAGCCTCATCATTGGGATCTCAGTAACCGTACGAGATACGGGGTCGGTTAAATTATGGCAAAGTTGCGCAATTTAATGACCAATAGAATGCCGTTTTGAAATTAGAAAAATTCCGAACGCTTCCGGAGATATTCGGAAAAAATCGTTTTTATTTTTTCCTGGGCTTATTTGGAAAGCAATTTCAAAATAAATGTCACTTCATCGTTGTCACTTATTCCCCTTTAGAAGACGGTGCTATTAAATTTAAAATTCGACGTTTCGTTTTCAGGCGACCATCATCAACTTACTTTTTTTAAATACGGACCTGGATTTTTTATTTGCGATTTTGTCATCTTTGAGCATCCTAAAACCGATAATGTTTATAATTTTTCAATAACACTTTAAAAAAAGCAGGTCCGTATTTAAAAAAAATAAATTGATGATGATTCCAGAGGAACGAAACGTTGGATTTTAATTTTAATACCGTCATCTTGTAGAGAAGAAAAAGTGACAATGGGAATTTGAAATTAGTTTTTCAAAATATTTTTAAATAAAATCAGGAAAAAATCAAAACTATAAGAAAAAAACATGAACTTCTCGTAGTTTTCAAAATTATAAAGATGGCCCCCTGAAGACGAAACGTCGGATTTTAAATTTAGTAGCACCATCTTCTAAAGGGGAAAAGGTGACAACGATGAAGTGACCTTTTTTTAAAATTGCTCTTCAAATAAGCCCAGGAAAAAATAAAAACGATTTTACAAAATTTCGTTTTTTTCCGAATATCTCCGGAAGTGTTCGAAATTTTTCTAATTTCAAAACGGCATTCTATTGGTCATTGAATTGCGCAACTTTGCCATAATTTAACCGACCCTGTATCTCCTACGGCTTCCGAGATCCCAATGATGAGGCTCGAATTTGGGCCACCCTGTACATTCTATTTCAACTTTTAATAGTTTATTATTATTTTTTCAAGAAGCAGAAACTCTTATAAAGGATAACTTTTTTTCGTAAAATTGATAATAAAAAAGTTTCCCATATGCTGCGAACTTAAGTGGATACACTGTATTTTATGAGAAAATTTCATGAATCAAAAATTCAAATTTTTTGTCAAAACACCAGTTCTTGCATTAGTTACTATGCAATAATTTACACTAATATAAATTATCACGTAATTCCAATCTGATTGGTTCAAATCAACAATCAAAACATGTTTATTAGTTTATTGTTGGTATGTCAGTTTTGACAGATGTATGAAATTCTCATCAAAAAAACGGCCACTTAAAAAAAAAATCAACCCTGTATTTTTGATGGATTTTATTCCCAACCTTTGTATTTAACTATGCTATATGATATCCTCTTTCGTTTCTTGAATTCTAGTAAAGTAATCTTTGTTCGTTTTGAGTTCATTATGAAATATATTCACCATAATTATTTACACAAACTAATAACTGGCCTTGCAGTCCTCTCGCGTCGTGTAATTTTTACTTACCCCGGTGCGAAATTAAATCCGCCAGAGGCAGCACCTCGCTGCAGCCAAAATTTTTGAATTTCCGTGTTTGCAGGGCTTACAATTTGAGACGAGATCTCAAAAACTACTTAATATTTTTTAGTGAATCAAGAAGATTTGAAAAGATAATAAAATTTAGAACAATGGCTCTTGTTTTATTTTTTTTTTTAAAGCGATGGGTTTGGATGTACCGAGCGATAGAAATGATGCTTTTTTTCGAGTATTAAAGGTCGTGATATTTTCAATTTGCAATTTTTTTTTTTCGAAAAACTAAAACAACAGCATGAATCTTTAGACTGAACCACTGTGTGGTCTGTTCCGCAGCAAGGTTGTCACATTGTGAAATTTTTCAGAAGGGTTGAAAAACATGAGTTTTTCACTCAAGCAAGCTTTCTAATCCGAAATAAATGTAAATGGAGTCTTGTTCTGTCTCAGTCTTGGCTTTTATATTTGGACTTTTTGTCCGTGTTGTTAGGGGGAAGCAATAAATAAAAATGCGACAATAATTCTGTGACCATTATTGAGTACCTAAATTCCATTTAAAAAAAGCGAAATTTACAGTTTTAACATAAAATTTAAATTAGGTTCACTTCAAGATTATTACTAATAATCTAATAATTTATTAGGTATTATGTTCACGCAACGTGGTAGGTAATAACAACCTCATTTTATAATCATAATAATAACATACCTGCCAAAGTTGCCCAGCAGGAATAAATTATATTAAGTTTTGATGATTAAAGATATTACAAATAATAAGGGCGACCAACGGACCTCCGGTTTTGCGTAAAATTCATTAAATTTATAACACGCCATAAAAAAAAAATAACACGCCATGTGGGATGGCGGTTTAAATATTTATTTCCAAATATAAATGGAAAATGCTTCAAAATATACTACTATGGCAAAAAAAATAAAATAGAAATATCCACAACTCGGAAATACCATGTAATACCGAAATAAACAAATTCTATACCTATACCTACCTATTTATTATTATTGTTATAAGTTAAATAAAAACATTCTTCAGAACAAACCAATAAAATTTTAAAAATAAATGTGAACAAACATGGCTTATTTTATATTTATGCATGATGTTATTTATAAATTATTTATTTTATTTTAATATTACTAAGTTTTCGAGTTATGAAATAAACCTGAAAAAAAATTCACATCAACTAACTGTAAAATGTTTATTTATACATATTTAAATTATGCATATTTATGCACTAGGAAAAATTCTAAACATTTTTTTTTGCTTTCAGCATCTCCTTCCTTGCCTTTTTAAATTCCTGAATTACTTGTTCTACACTTTTTATAAGTGTAGAAGAGCCCAATCTTTCAAAAACCATCCTCCTAGTGTTTTCAATACTACCTTCAGGCCGATTATCCAAAAATTCTTGCGATTGATGTACAATGTTAATTCTCACATTCAATTCTCCTGTACTTACTGTTTCTGTTCCATACTTATTTAGAAATGTATCCTAAAAATTGTACTAATTTAATATACAACATATGACCTAGTTTAAAATCCTCCCAAAAAAAAAAAAATAGAAATTCATATTCAGATTCAGGGATTAGGGAGCATGCATTAGCATTTGGCTGGTCATAACATGGTCCTGGGGAAATTTAATTTATATCCAGGAAATTTGCGGGAAGACGCATTGCTAGAGGGCTTTGGGACGATAACCGAATAATTTTTCGGGGTCAGCAAGCTTTATATCCCAAAAAAGAATCTTCCATATAAGAAATTCTTTTTGGTATTTTTCATTTGTTGTGCAACCCAAAAGTTATTTGATAAATTCGGAAAGCAGCTATTTTTATATTAAAATTATTTCCTATTAGATTGTGGTGTAGTTTCTTATTGAGGTTTATTTAATTTACATAACCAAAGTATCCTTGTTTGAGTTCCTCTAGTTCTAAATCGAATTAAATCACTGTCAGAAACTGCAATGAGATCTGAATAGGCTTGTGGCATTTCGCTAGAAATATGTCTTCTTTTTTTAAATCTTCATTGATGAACTACCAGAGACCCTGATGAGCTTTACCAAGTGGCTTTTTGCAGATGATTTGAAACTGTGCCAAACAACAAAAGGTGGGGATGATTGTAATAATCTGGATCACTTGAATTTCAGATGAATTGAGATTCTGCAGCATTTAATGTGAATTTTCAAGCAGAATGACCTGATTCTATTGACTTATTTATATGATATCGAGGATTTTGTATATTTCGCAGTGCCACCGTGATTCTGCTTTTCTCTACAGTGATGTGATACAACGTGGTAGTTTTGCAATACTTTTTATACCATCGCTGAATATTTACGTTTCTATTATGGATACTATGGCCAATTTTTCGCTATTCTGTAGTATTCTAACTTATTCGTTAGCGCCTTCGTCACATTAGCAATAACAATAGTTTGTGTGATAACTTCCTAAAATTATTTTAAGCTCGAGAAAACCTAATTATTTTGGATTGCCCCTTAAAGGAGGAAAAATGTACCCTAATGTAGAGAATGACATCGAAATCCTCTTCCATGCAATGTGGTATTTATATTTTTTTGAATTAAAATGGAATGAGCTGATCCTATTTTCCTAGTATACCCATCCGTTTTTTTGGTGAGAAAATATTTTCTATTGGAATTTACAATTTATTTTAAATGGGATTATGACTAAATACTTAGTATGTATTAATAAAATAAAATACCAGTTCTCCCTTAAGTTCTCCAATGATATGATTATCCAGACCACCAATCCACCTCACATCACCATAATTCTGATAATCGCCGATGAAAAATCGTTTCATCTCGCCAGCAGGACTTTTAGTGGTAAATCGGAAACAGTTCAGATCATATTTCAAAGTTCCCGATCGGGAAATTGGTAGGTTTAAATAGCATAAACCCTCGGTCCTGTATCGATCCCAAGAATCTTTTGACATTATTTCAAAATATATTGTCGGGGATTTAGGAATCTCTGTAATAGAAACGAAGCTTTAAAGAAAAAAAAAAAATTCAGAAGATCCTACCTTCTTCCTTCAAATTCCCCAAATTATACTCCAGAAATGTTTCCAAACAAAACCCAAAATGCACTAATCCTTTTTCATCTTTAGCAGTACAAATGTTGGTTCTTCCATTCAAAATATCTGCTTTCGGACTCGACCAAGCTTCAGGCAAATCAATGGAATATTGAACATAAATTTCAGGGTGTTCAAAATATTTTCCTGAACAAATTTCCAAAAATACAAATAAATAAAGCTTGTTTATCGGCGGTATTGTAAATGGGTCCGCGAATAATTGACTTTTCAGATGAGATTGACAATTTTGGATCTGAAATTACCGATTCTAATTATTTTTTTAATAACTTTACCTTAGAATTTATATTGGAAAAATTGTTTTCGACTCAGCAGCCAAAACTAAAAGCAATTACTTTTTTAATTAAAGTTTTCTCGTTAGCATCGATCGATTCCGACATATTATTGGAACTGTTTTCTATAAAATAAGTGAAAACTTTTTCCTGGTCGTTGTGGATTTTTATTAAATATGGATGGGTGGTTGTAAAATCCGGGAATATTTGAAGAGTTTTGCTGTACGGATTGTATGTTACGGTGCACAGTTGTTTTTCGTTTTTGAACCAGGTGTCTCCAAAATAGTCGCTGTAAAAGATACCTAATATAAATGGATCAGTCTCACAAATAAAGAAAATAATTTTACCCAAAATCTGCCATCAAATACATTTTCTCTTCCTGCCTATTTAAAAATGGATTTTCGATTGATGTTTGAAGACTTCTCTCAAAATCGTACTCGTTGATTCCCTCTTTAGAAGACTCAAGATTAAGATTATCCATCGCAGATTTCAAATAATTATTTATGTGACCTGAAACCTAGAAAAAAGAGCTTATGTCTTATGTTGAGTAGATTCTAATATAATTCGTTTTTCAGACTCTACGTTGTCTTTATTTGTAGAGTTTCATGATTTCTCATCCAACCAATACTATTTTACGAATGTCGTATAAAAAAGCATGGAAGCGAGATGTATGGCCTAATGCTGCCATTGTTTCCAAGTTTTTTGCGAACAAGAAGATGCTACCAAATCACGTGGATCTTCCCAAAGAGTGACCCAAAATGTCAGAGGCTTAAGAACAAAAACCAATGGTTTTAACTCTGCTGTCCTAGCAGAGGACTATGATATAATCATGTTATCTGAAACATGGCTCACTAATGGCATAAGGGATGCCGAACTCTTTGATGAACAATACATAATATTTAGGAAAGACAGAAACAATGGGAAAGCTATGGGTGGAGGCGTTCTGGTGGCCATTAAAAGGAGACTGTCTGCCGAAGTCCTTAAAATCATTTTTTCTAATCTTTTTATTCACCGAAAAACGTGGCAAATTAATTGGCGCCCAACGTGGGGCGTTGGCGCGTTACAAATTGTAGCGATTTAACAGAGTGCTTACTACTAAGGGTCCCGGGTGTTTAGTGTTTACCGGGTCGTTGACTTGGCAAGAGGATATAAATAGAAGGACTTTCCCAGGCTTGATGTCGGTGGAGTCTGAATGGCCGACCATGGATTGCAAATCGGAACATCTTAGAGTGGGGGATGCATGATAAGGCCGACCATTTAGACTCTAGTATGAATGGGAAGGAGTAGAGTCCATGCCAATGATGTAGAATATAAGCCACAATGAGTTTCGGTGCAGAGCATGGGCTCGAAATAGTGAAAAAGAAAAACAAAAAACTAAGGGTAAAGTATAAAAAATCTGTATTCTTTTTGTCAGAAGCTCACCTATGACTCAGTTTGTTTCTTAATCTGAATGACCTATATCAGTGTAACGCTGTTTTTAACTGCTCCAATAGACTGCTTGATCTTGTCCTTTGCAGTGAGAAAGTTGGAGAAATCATTGATGGTTGTCCATTGGTGAGGAAGGATCTGTACCATCCAGCTTTAAATTTTAACTTGTTACTGCATGCAAGGGCTGCAGTTGAAGAAGACAAATTTCACCACACCTATATCATTATAACCCTGCGTTTTTATTCTCATCAAATTTTACCGATGGATCCACCATTCTATGGCCGTCATTGTCATTATCCATTCACTAAACAAAGATAGGTTACTCACCGGTGAAGTCACCGATGAGAATAAAAACGAGGGGTATCTAGGCAAACGGAGATTTTGACAAGTTGTACCATTTAGGGCCAAATTATGGACCAACTGGTAAGTGTCTGGTTGTTACCTAGCTGGTACTTTCTATTCTCTAGTGCATAGAAAGTACCTGCTAGGTAACAACCAGACATTCACCAGTCAGTCCATAATTTGGCTCTTAAAAAAGTCCACTGACTGATCCAGGTGTGTGTGATTGTAAAGATGTGAACGTTGGTGTGGGTGAATTCTACAAAAGGCTCAACTACTGTATCCATTCAGCCATTCACCCAAAAAACTTGAGAGGGGAACTTCTAGCGGAAAGCGAACATTCCCAAAATTTTTCTCTGTTGATCTGGTGCGAAGGAATAGATGCAAGAATCACATGCATGATGGGTTGATCCGGGTTGGTAGTGCTGATGATATGCTTATAAACGAATATAAGAATCTCAGACGTACTATTAAATATCAAATTAAAGAGGAGTTTATTCTTTATCAACGAAACATAGAACAAAATGTGCTTGCTGATCCTACGAGTTTTTGGTCTTTCTTCAAGTCACGCAGACATCAGAGCCCTGGTGTCACTTCTGAGATGCTTTTCAATGGGCAGGTCTTTGATGGCTCACAGGGAATCGCTGACGCATTTGCCACTCGTTTTAGCTGTGTTCATCAATTCATCAACCCCTAATTGGGCTGGTGTGGATGGTGACATTGGTGAGTTTCGTTTTTCCCATGTAACTGAAGAGTATGTCAGAAATAGTATCAAAAATCCTAAACTTAAAAAGGCAACTGCCAACTGGTGAGGAGAATATCCCTGCTCCTTGTATCTTCAAAGGCTGTTCAGATTTTTTTGTGAAACCCTTGGCGTATTGTCCATCAGAACCAAAATTTTCCCAAACTGAAAGAATCAATTATAACCCCAATTTTAAACTATCCTAAACGTTTTGCAAAAATATACGAATCGCAGTCTTATACAGTGATTTACTCCAGTATTTATTGGGCAAGTTCTCTCTAAACCAGCATCGTTTTTTGCCTGATTCTTTGCCAGTTGGACTTGGTCTTGACTGACTGCGCAAAATCATTTGATAGGGTCGATCATGGTGTTCTTTTTTTTTCAGTTCAGTTTTAATTTTTCGCGGGATGCATGTCTGTTGATTGCCTCATATCTGAAATCTAGATTTCAGCGGGTTAAGGTGGGCAAAGGGCGAGCTTCCAGATTCCTGACCACTTCAGGGGTTCCACAGGGTTCATCGATGACTCGCCTGATAGTCTTCATTTTTCATCCAGTCTTATTTTTGCTGATGATTTCAAAATATTTAGGTGGATAAGAAGCGAAATCGATTTTTGTGAATTGCAAAGTGACTTGAATCGGGTATCATTGTGGTTCGAAAAAAATTATATGTCTTTGAATATTGATAAGTGTGCATAATATTATCAACTACGATTACACAATTGATAATAATGCATGGCTTGCTAGGGAAAATGAACGTAGGGATCTGGGAGTGTATCTACAGTCTAACCTCAAATTCAACGCTCATAGGCCTATAGAATGCTTGGTTTTGTGATGAATTCTAAGAATTTTCATAGCAATAATACAATAATAAGACTTTATACCTAACACATTGGTTAGACCTTATCTTGAGTATGCGTCAGTAATCTGGGCACCACAGACTAATTTTCATACTAACCATATCGAGAAAGTACAGAAGAGATTTTTGAGATATTTATATGTGCGGAAGCACAATGCATATTCATTCATACCTTGTCTCTTACAGGTGTTTGCTGGATACTTTTGATTTTCAAACATTGCAAGAACGAAGGAACTTGCATGCAGTATTGTTTGTGTTTTCTGTTATTAATAGTGATAAGTAAGTATAAGAGATTCTGCTTTGTCAATTATTTCAAGTTTGATATACCTAAAATCAATTTAAGATTTAAGGATACAAAATGAAAACCTCTTTTGCTTTAATCCATTAAACTGTTCGCCTGCTAACTGCATGCAGCTTATATGTAACAATTTTATTGAAAAATATAGATCTTTTTAATACAAGTGCAAGGGCCAAATGTGATTTTAATCTGTGATCTTTTAGTCAATTTTATAAATGCAAATGTTTTATTAATTATTATTATAACCGCTATTTGTTTCTTAGTTCTTACTTTTTTATTCCTTAGTTTTCAGTTTTAGCTCATTAGCTGCTGTTAGTTGTAGTGTTGATTGTAGTAGGCACTCTCTTGCATGTAATTATATTTTGATGTAGGTATGTAGAATGTATCTTTAAATAAATGATTAAATAAATAAAATAAAAAAGGTGTATCATTATTGAATGGGGGTTTAGGCTAACTAGCTAGCTACGATACTAACATAACAGCTAAGTTTCTTAGAATCTAGGTGTCATGTAAACTACACTTTTTTCAATAGTGGTTCTTTCAATAATTGTACAGGGTGGCCGATTTTCGATGTTTTAATGGGCTATATCAAAAACCAGCAGAGAAATCAAAAATCTGGGAGCACATTCTCGAGCTCTTTTTTTGAGAAAATAACAATGGCGAAGATAAATCACGGCTAACTTGATGCGTTTAGGAAATAAAGTGCACTTTTCAAATTTTGTCCAGTTTTAAAAGACTCTCTAATTTCCTTATTATTCAAGATATCCAAAAACGAAAAATACTTTCTAGAGGCAGGTTTTATACCTTTACCTTTAATAGTTTTGGAGAAAAAAAATAAATTCCGTTTTTTCCATAAGAAACAATGAGTTAGAAAGAGATAGTTGAACTATGAATCGGTACTGAATCGGCTACATATTTCTTAATTCTTAATTTAATTTTTCAGTTCAGCTATTTTTTTTTAAATTTGAACTATGAATCGGGGGTGATAAATAGGCAACACATAATTTATTTAATGACTTATCTCTCTCTAGCTCATTGTTTCTTATGGAAAAACGGAATTAATTTTTTTTTGTCGAAAACTATAGAAGGTAAAGGTATAAAACCTTATTTCATTGAAATCAGCTCACAAAGAGTTATTAAATAAAAAAATAATATACGGGGTGTCTCATTTAAAAAAACACAACTTTGGTCAATATTCCAAAATCGGAGGCATCTGGAGAGAAATTGGTCATGCCACTGGATTCTCCTTGAAAAACTGCCTATAGAAAGTATTTTTTGTTTTTGGATATCTTGATTAATAAATAAATTAGCAGGTCTTCTAAAATTGTGCAAAATTTGGAAAGTGCCCTGTATTTCCTAAACGCATTAAGTTAGCGGTGATTTGTCTTCGCCATTGTCATTTTCTCAAAAAAGAGCTCGAGAATGTGCTCCCAGATTTTTGATATCTCTAGTGGTGTTCGATATAGCCTATTAAAACATCGAAAATGGGCCACCCTGTACATTAGGAAGGGTGGGTTTTTTTTACTTTCTCTTTTACACGATTTGCCACATTCACACAGAATCTGATATATGGTATAAAGTGCTTGGTACTTATTGAGTTTCAGGTTAGATCGAAACACAAAAACAAAAAATCGATTTTCCAAACAAACCGCCCGGAACCACTTAAAGGAAAGAACGAAAATGCTACTAATCTGAAAACAGCGACAAGAGTGGCGTTCACTGCCGTATTCAGGGGGGGGGGGGCAAAGGGGGCAATTACCCCCCCCCCCAGAGCAACATCTTTTTATTCCTTTTATTTTTTAAAATTTTAAAAATTTGTCAAATAATAAAAAAATAAATTCAAAAATGTACTGA